CTGTAAGGACAACTATAAAATACTGATGAAACAGATTGAAGAGGCCACAAAAAAGAAAGAAAGAAAGAAAGAAAGAAAGAAACAGTATCCCATGTCATTAGAAGAATTAATATTGTGAAAATGACCATACTACCAAAAGCGATCTACAGATTCAATGCAATTCCTATGAAAATACCAGTGACATTCTTCACAGAAATACAAAATCCTAAAATTTGTATGAAACACAAGAGACCCCAAAATAGCCAAAGCTATCCTGAACAAAAAGAAGAAAACTGGAGGCATCACACTGTCAGAAATCAATATATACTATAAAGCTATATAACTGAAATAGCATGGTCTGGACATCACAACAGACATGTTAACCAATGGATCAGAATAGAGAACTCAGTGTGTTTGCAGCCCTCACACAGAGTCCCTACTGGAGTGAAGGTTGCAGTGAGCTGAGATCATGTTGGGCAACAGAGCAAGACTCTGTATCAAGAAAAAACAAATCAAAAACCAAAAAAACAAGAACAACCTCCCTCCCCCCAAAAAACCCAAGTAAACAAACAAACAAAATAATACAAGTCATTTATTAAAAAAATCAAGCCTAGCTCTTCTTTTTGTCAGAAAAATGGTCACGGGGATGAAAGCCAGCTTGGTGCGGCATGGACAAAAATATGTAACACTACTGTGCCAACTTAGCTTCAGAGAGCTGTATGTGTATCTTCTCAATTTTTGGATGCTGAAATGAGGAAGCTAGGGTCAACACCATTGGCACCATCCTTCTCCTACATATTTATTTAACTCATTTCTACTGTTAGTCCATGCTAAGCCAAGGAAGAAAGGCATGGAACATAGTGTTTGCCAAACTGCTGCCTTCATCTTGAAAATTATTATTTATGTATTTCTTGCCACCTTTATTTTTATATATTGATTGGTAGCAGCAGTTGAGTATTCCATCTTAGGAGGAGGAAACTTTGAAGGGGAGCAGAAGGGAAAGGAAAAAGTTCTTTGGTTTTCTTTTAGTTCTATTAAATAAGGTGGGAGCTCTATCAACCAACCTTCATAACTCACTGGATTCACAGATGCTCTCTATTTCCTCTGAAACATAACAATGGTCACAGCATACTTTAAGTTTGAAGCTGTTAGACCTTCTCTTGTATACCTGTAAGCTGCCACTCCAAGAATCAATTGAGTTTGTTCCCAAACTTGTTTGTGCCAGTCTGTGACAATAGTTTTAACTGAATTAGGTTATTTAAATAAATATTACATAAACCAATAATACATGAGTGTGAAAGTTATTTTTTTCTATAAAAATTAAGTAGAATCTTGGGCCAGGGGCCATTTTGGAAGCATCTTGCCAAGCTCTGCTTCTTCTCTGAGTATGGAGAAGGCAAAAGAAAAGGAGTAGACATCCACAGAGAAGTTGAGGGAAGAGATCAGCAGGCTTCTAATCAACCAAACACAATTGCTTTGTCAGGAACATCAGCAAAGGGAACCAAAGGAAAAATATCTGTCAAGGGTAACAAAGTGCTCTGCCCTAAGAAGGCAGAGTACAGTGACAACCCCAGATCTCAAAAGATACCAATCCCTCCATTACCCTCTAAACTGCCGCCTGTTAATCTGATTCACCGGGACATTCTGCGGCCTGGTACCTGTGTGCCTTTGTCTACCCAAATCAAAAGGATTTTCCTAGCACAGCAAAAAAGGCCAAAATCCGGAAATCATTGAAAAAAAAAATTAACGGTGGAAACAGGGGAAACGTCCTGCAAAGTTCTGAGACACATCCTCCTGAAGTGGGTCTTCTCCCTGAGGAGGGGCTGCCTACCCTGGAAAGTCCACTGTTCTCCTTGAGGGAGCTAATATAGTTGTGGTGACAATTTCTGCCCCAGAGGCTTTGCTGGCCTCCTGGGCGAGAATTTTAGCCAGGCCAAGGATACCAGAGACAGTGGAATCTCCACAAGAGGCCTGTGGTGTCAGGTGGTGGTGTGTGTTACAGGGGAAACGTCTCCCTGCAGCCATAGATGTTTGGGTTCACCTGCAGTTTCATGCTGGTCAAACCTGGGTTCCAGAGAAGCAAGAAGGGAGAGTGAGTGCCTCCAATTTTCCACCCCCACACCTTAAAGACAATATGTTGTGCCCCAAATGTGTTCACAGGAATAAGGTCTTAATAAAAAGCCTCCAATGGGAATAGAACATCAGGGAAAAGGCCACATCTACGGGAATTAATGGCAGAAAGACTGGAGAGTCAGATTCCGTGGTGTTACTGACAGGTGAACTCTGGTCCTCTCCACACCTATTTATGGGCCATGCAGACTGGTGGGGTGGCAGATGTTAACCTAAGACCCCTAGCATTGCCTGTTGCTTTGTGAGTGAAGACAGATACAGACTCTTACATTTAAAAACAGAAAAACATTTCACAAATTATGATAAATTGTAATTAATATGTAGAAAAACTCATTTATACTACCTTTCTAAAACAGAAATGATGTCAGCAGCTTTTTTGTTTGTTTTTTTGAGACAGTGTCTTGCTCTGTTGCCCAGGCTGGAGTGCAGTGGTGCAATCTCAGTTCAGTGCAATCTCTGCCTCCTGGGTTCAAGTGATTCTGCTGTTTCAGACTCCTGAGTAGCTGGGATTACAGGCACCCACCACCATACTTAGCCAATTTTTTTGTATTTTTTATTAGTGAGGGGGTTTTACCATGTTGACCAGGCTGGTCTCAAACTCCTGGCCTCGAGAGAACCACCCACCTGAGCCTCCCAAAATGCTGGGATTACAGGCATGAGCCATGGAGAATGGCCTTCAGCAGCTCTTTTAAGTGTGAACTTCTTCAGCTGAGCATTGTGAAGGAGTTGAGCAAAACAATAGTTTGCTCCTATGCTCAATTTTTCCCTCCTCTGAACACTTGACTACTTTAGGAGCTGCATCATTCCAATTGCAATTTCATAAAATGTAAAGTATTTTAAGGCAAAGGAAAGCTATTAATTCTCTCCTTCCCCCAAACACATGATTTTTAATATTCAAAACAATATTTTTCAAAGTTCTCTTAATAATCTGAGATTTCTATGGTTTGACTCCAGGATCAATACACAAGGCACTTTGTATTATTTCACTTCTAATTGTTTTCTATATTTCTGGTGTTTAAAATGTTTGAAGTTGCTTCCCACTCATAAATACATGATATATTGAACTTAAAATGTGTTTATTAACCAGTTCTCCATAAATAAAAATAAGATCTGTATATACAATAATTCATCTGTTGTATTTAGGGAACTGTATTCATTGCATGCAAATTATTGTTAGTGTTCTTAATTCAAAGTAGGAGTAAACCAAAATGTATGATTTTTCTTTTGCATGACTCATTTGTTTGTTTTTTTCTTTATTAGTTGGTGGTATGGGTTGGATCATTTGTTTTAAAACTACTTAGGTATGACTGACATACAAAAAGCTGTACATATTTAATGTATCCCATGGAGTATAATAAATTTTTAATTTTTGTGTGTACTTCCTACATTTATAGTCCTGAAAGTCTGTGAACAGATCTTTTTTTCACTTGTCCTATTTTAATGACTGTTTCCAACATTGTTTCGTTATTACAGCTAGGGGATCTTTTTTCTTTTGCCCCTTTAATGAAGATACTAAAAATAATGCACTGGAAGGAGTGGCAGAGTTGGAAAATTTGTAACTGTCATAATATAGGTGTGATATGTCTGGGAAATAATCCTCAAAAATGTTAGAGGAAGGGAGAAAAATTTGTTGAGAAGCAAGATGTTCTTCACTCCTGTCCCCCATTGGTTGTTGGTGGTCAGAATTGTTCAGCATAATAAATAATAGACATTTTTTTCTTATACTAAAAAAAAATTAAGTAAAACCTTTTGGAAACATCTATTAAAAATGCTGCTAAAAAGAAACGCGGTAAAATTAGGTGTGAGTGAGGAAACTGTAAAAGAGTGTAAAATGTAATAAAAATCCAAAAGCATTCTGCTCTTCTATGTATTGCAAGTATCCTTCAGTTTTTTTTTTTTCACTTGAAATAAAGCAAAATAGAAATCATAGACATTGCCTTTTGTGTGGCTTATGTTAAGAAAGACCTGAAAGAAATTAAAATAGCATACTTATTTAAAAGAAGGGCCTTGGCTCTTCATCGAATTATTGACTAATATTTATTTAAGTTAAATTTATATTTATTTTAAAGATATAAAAAAATTTCCCACTTTAACTGATTTTTTCAATTAAGTGGCCAATCACTGGTCTGAAAGTGTCAAATGGACTTTTATTTCCATTGTGGCCCATTACTGCTTCATTTTTTTTTTTTTTTTTGAGACAGAGTCTCACTCTGTTGCCCAGGCTAAAGTGCAGTGGTGTGATCCTGGCTCACTGCAAGCAACCTCTGTCTCCTGGGTTCAAGCATTCTCATGCCTCAGTCTCCCATGTAGCTGGGATTAAAGGCGTGCACTACCACATCCGGCTATTTTTTTCTAGTTTTTTTTTTTTAGTAGAGGCAGGGTTTCACCACGTTGGCCAGGCTGGTCTTGAACTCACGGCCTAAGTGATCCACCCGCCTCAGCCTCCCAAAGTGTTGGGATTACAGGCTTGAGCCACCATGCCCGGCTGCTTCATTTCTTAATATATGTATACCTGTTCCCTGGCTAGATCCCAAGTGAGAAAAATTAAATAATTAGCCAGAGTCCACTTCTTCTAAATTTCCCTATTTGTAACATAAGTTGGGGAAAAGTCTGAGAAGACTACCTAGAAATTGTTCTATTCAGAACATTTTTTTTTCCCCAGGGAAAAAAGAATACCCTATCACAGGGCTGGAAAATGCTTGTAAGGCATGTCTGTGAGACATACTAATAACACTATGCCATATATTAATAGAGGTGGATATTTTCAATTAAGAAATAGTTCTTTTGGTTCTCATGGGAACTATACTTTCAACCCTTTGATAACCTTCTGACTACACTGATAGGAGAAGTTTAGCATTAGATTCAGTGTCTTTCAGGTCTATCAATCTCACCTGTTCACCAGCTTGGGATTCCCCAATGATGAAACGATCTCCTGGGCCATCAGCAGCTGTGAGATGGAACAGAGCCGAGAACAAACATCAGTATGGACCTATAGCATGGAATAAGAACCAATACTGGAATTCTAAAATTCGACTCAAATTATTTGATAAGGCTTAGAGAAGTGGAATATTTTTCTGATCTCCTAGGCGTGACAATGGGTTTGTTACTGCTGGTTTAATATTCGGTATCTGTAACTCACATGCATTGACAAGAAGTGGTCCTAATAGTACCACTGGTGCCAAATTGTGCCATGGTGTCACTGGAGATGGTCTTCCTGTCACCCCATAATTTCCACCCTTGTGCTTTTCTAATAAGTTCTTCTAGCCCATCTTCCTAAATACCGCCTTATCCATGTGTATGGATGTGTGTGTGTGTGTGTGTGTGTGTGTGTGTGCGCACGTGCACACTCATGGACATATATATATATGGATTTATCACTATTGGTATATATATCCATATGTCTCCATTTTTCTATAAAATTTTAACCACTTCATACTGTTTTCTTATTTATCTCCCAGTCTGGACTTCATAATGTGAAATAGGAAGAACATTCCTTTCTTCACTTGACAGCTGAAGGAAATGAATTATGGAAAGAAAGAATTCAGGTAGAAAAGGTAAAGTACTTTGAACAATTTCTGGTTAATGGTAGAGCTAGGACTAAAATCCAGTCTCATAATTGTAGCACAGTATCTTTTAATAATGTATCAAAATTCTGTTTATGAATTAGAATACATAGGCAGTACTGCATCACATTTTCCATTGGCTATTTATTTTTAAATTAAAAAAAATTTCCAGAATTAGGATGGAAAAAATTTATTAAAAAAAAAATATATGTAGTATAACAATGGCTGGCTGCATAAACATTCCTGGAAGTTCAAAAGCGTTTTCTTGACATATGATGTGGCTTTCAGACCAACGCTACTGGGCAAAAATGCCTATCTAGCAAGTTTTATGAGCATGACCATTACCTCCATGTTATCTGCAAACAGCAGAGTTCTGGGGGCATATATACAGAAAATATATACTTTATGAATATTTAGATTACATTTGCAATCATACAGATAAATAATAATATTTTCCCCTTTTAAAAGGACATTAGATTAATTGCTTGTTGATATAGCTACAAAGTGGTATTTTTTCTAAAGGCTTATATAAAACACTATTTATAATGAAGTCATCCCTTTTTTGCATAAATGGTTTTGGTTAGCCTGATGTGGAGAGGGACAAAAATTAACACTGGGTCCCTTTTGTCACAAGATGTTGCATTTTATGTTTTATAGATATTATGTCAGTTAATAAACTCTTGCCTTTCTTGTGTTTTTTTGGAATCAGATTATATTTTTCAGTTTTTACTTGTAAAAACTATTATAGAAGAGTTTTTCTGCAATGTTATTTTATTAAGCCACTTTCATGGGCTATTTTTTAAAAAGGGTTAAAAAGTTTTTACAACAGGCAGGGTGCAGTGGCTCACGCCTGTAGTCCCAGCACTTTGGAAGGCCGAGGAGGGCAGATCACCTGAAGTCGGGAGTTCAAGACCAGCCTGGCCAACATGGTGAAACCCCATCTCTACTAAAAATACAAAAATTAGCCGGGTGTGGTGGCGCATGCCTGTAATCCCAGCTACTCAGGAAGCCGAGGTAGGAGAACCGCTTGAACATGGGAGGCAGAGGCTGCGGTAAGCCAAGATTGCACCACTGCACTCGAGACCAATCTTGTTTCTTCTATCCCCCCACTTATTTTTGCTATCTGTCAGAGCAAGTGATAATTTTTTTACTGTAGAGAATTAAAACATCAGTTATCCTTTAGAGTTACACACTAACTGTACCTCAAACATGAATAAACTTATTTTAAATTATTTCTCTAGTAGAGAAATAATTATCAGCTTGTTACCTCCTATACCAACCTAGACCTTTTCTCTTTTTTTTGAGACGGAGCTCTACTCTTGTTCTCCAGGCTGGAGTGCAATGGTGCGATCTCGGCCCACTGCAACCTCTGCCTCCTGAGTTCAGGAGGCTGCAATCTCAGCCTCCTGGGCAGCTGGGATTACAGGTGTATGCCACCATGCCCGGCTAATTTTTCTGTCTTTTTTTTTTTTTTTGTAGAGAAGAGTTTTCATCATATTGGTCAGACTGGTCTCTTACACCTGACCTCAGGTGATCCGCCCGCCTCTGCCTCCCAAAGTGCTGGGATTACAGGCCAGAGCCACCACGCCTGACCCATTTTCCCTTTTTTTACTTCCTGCACAAGGGGGAAATTAGCACTGTTTTAGAGTAAAAAAAAAAGGTTAATCTGAATCCTGGTTCTGTTTACTGTTAGCTTCAGGGACTCTCAGCAAAATTACGAAACCTCTCTAACCTTCAGTTTTCTTTTTGGTAAAAACAGGTATAATCACAGTTTTAAATTAATAACTTTGGGGCTCTTCATTCCTTTTATTCATTCAGTAAATTTCCGAATGTCTTTCATGCCCCAAGTGTTATATTAGGAGCTGGAGAGAGAGTAGGCGGTAAACCTAGACACTGTTTCTGTTTTAGTGCAGTGCTAATCTGTCATAAGGTTTTTCAAATTCTGGATGACAAATGGAGGTGGGCTTTAAAATCAACTTGTAAATAATTTTTAAATGAAAAGGATAAAAAACATATTTCAGCACACACGGTAAGGGTGACTCTTATTTCATGAAACTTATTTTTGCTTATATGTATATATGTATGTATATTTATATATAATGTATATGTTATATATGTGTGTGTATATCATTGGGTGTAATGTATATTTAATGTATTTCTTCCCATGGGTGTGGTTAAAGTAAAACTCTTAATGCCACTGATGCATCAGGAGAGGCAGATATTAATCAAATAAATAATCACATTAATGAATATATAAATACAAATTAAGAAAATCACTCCAAAGCAAAGAAACATGGTTTTATGAGAGTATACAATTAAAGTACCTGAGCTATACTGGGGAGTCAGGGAATGCATGATAAAAGGATTTCTGATTTTAATATGAAGAATGAGTAAGAGCTAAGGAGGGATGTGTATGTGTGTGAGAGAGTAGGGAGCAGAGAGAGAGAAGAAAGGAGGGAGAGGGAAAGGGAAGGGAGGAGAGGGAGAGAGAGGAAAAGACATAAAGTAGAAGTGCTCCATCATTGTGCACAAAGAGAACATTATGTGCAAAGGCCTTGGTTCATGTCTTCCTTATACTTTATACTCTAGGCGTTCTCACCTGCTAGTACTATAGTTCCCTGAGAGTACCAAGATAACTCATATTTTGGCTCCATGACATATGCTACTTCTGCTATTTAAAGTGTTCTTTTCTCAATCTTGCCTTCTGATTAAAGATTGTTTTAGCTGTTAAGACTGAGCTCAAGTGTCATCTTCTCTATGAAGTCATATCCGACTCCTCTCCCCTCAACAGTTGCTTCCATACTCTTTTGTTTGGCCAGTGTATCCTGAAATTAATTATGGCTTCTTCTTTTTTTTTTTTTTTTTTTTTGAGACGGAGTTTTGCTCTTGTTACCCAGGCTGGAGTGCAATGGCGTGATCACGGCTCACCGCAACCTCTGCCTCCTGGGTTCAGGCAATTCTCCTGCCTCAGCCTCCTGAGTAGCTGGGATTACAGGCACGCGCCACCATGCCCAGCCAATTTTTTGTATTTTTAGTAGAGACGGGGTTTCACCATGTTGACCAGGATGGTCTCGATCTCTTGACTTCGTGATCCACCTGCCTTGGCCTCCCAAAGTGTTGGGATTACAGGCGTGAGCCATCGTGCCCGGCCTAATGACGGCTTCTAAATGTATTTACAGTATTTGCAAATCCCTGGCACTTGCTGTACAACAGGTGTTAAATAAATGGTCAATATGTTAAGTATTCAAAATGGTTGGTGGATGAATGAATGTGGCTCCAAAAATGTTCTTAGATGATTCATGTATGAATGAACAAATAAGCAATATTTTCTAACACAAAGTTCTGTATTTGTTATATATACTTTTTGCTGATGCATGTATATTGTTTCCTTCAAAATTTGAGTCAACATCTTAAGAATATTTATAAAGACTGCTTCAGCTGGGCAGATCACTTAAGCTCAGGAGTTTGAGAGCAACCTGGGCAACATGGCAAAACCCCGTCTCTACAAAAAATACAAAAATTAGCAGGTGTGGTGGTGCGTGCTTGTAGTCCTAGCTACTTGGGAGGCTGAGGCACAAAGATGGCTTGAGCACTGGGTGGGAGGTAGGGAGTGGAGGCTGTAGTGAGCTGAGATTGTACCACTGCACTCCAGCTGGAGCAACATAACGAGATCCTGTCTCAAAAAAAAAAAAAAAAAAAAAAAAAAAAAAGAGACTGCTTTAATTCTGTATAACTTAGATTATGTCATTATTCTGTCTAGCATAGTGCCTAGCTCATTGTTGATAATAAATATTTGTTAAAAGAATAAAGAAATGAATTTGGCATTCTCATAAAGTTTTAGGTGGGAAGTATTTCTCTTTTCTCCTGTTCTCCCACACATGCACATATCCTCAGAACATTGAATACTCATATCAATGTTCTGCACAATCCTCTAAATAAACTGAATAATGAGTACCTGGAAGTCATCTGGGGCAAGCCTAGTATCGAATCTCTGGGAGGTCCATATGTGAAAGGGCTCTGAAGTGATTCTAAGGAGCAAGGTCTTTGTTATCAGGGAAAGTATACCAGTTGTGGAGAGAATATGTGCTCACTTACACTATGTTCTCCACCTTACCCTGAATCTTTCCAGTTGCTGGCTAAGGAAGAATCAGTCAACCAACTACAAAGAAGTTTCTTGGTACCAACAGAGGAGTCATTTTTATTATTTCCCTTATTTCTCAATATTTAATGTATATGCAAATCATCTGGAGATCTTGTGAATACACAGATTCTAATTTAGTAGGGCTGGGACAAGACCTGAGATTCTACATTCTAACATGCTGATGCTGAGGCTGCTGGTCTATGGATTACCCTTTTTAAGAAGCAGGGCACTATAAGATTGAAC